GATTTCTTTTTAATTCATTTTTGTATTATATATTTTAAATCAATTAGAAATCAAAAATCACAAAAATATGATTCAGATGATATCACTCTATATAGAAAGATTTAAAAAAAGAACTTTTTAAAAATTAAAATAGTGATACTAAAAAATATTACAATTAAGGAAACAAATATAAACATATGAGAGAACAACAATTGGAAACTTACACTACGTGGGAGGTTTTTGAAATTTTTGATGAGGAAAATGATCTTATTGTTGTAAAAATAATACTATCTAGTATCACTTGTACTGCATCATCAGTTTAGATGACACTAATTTGCAGGCTCAATAAAAGGTAGAATTGAGTGACTAATCCAATTGTACATATCATTTAATGACATATTGTGTCACATAAACTGATATTTTAACAACTGTACTGATAAATAGCATTATTCGATGACGGATGTCAACATTTTTCATTTTTCTTTACTTGCTTTCCTTGAAAAAATGAAATGAGTCAAACGATACTCTATACAACCTCTTCCACTCGTGGCTTTGATCATCTTGTCATTTGCAGAGAAACAGAGTATAAGCTAACATTTTATGTCTTTCACAATCAACAATATGTACCAGCAGGTGTTCATAACTGACGGGCTTTCACTGATGATCACAAGCCGACGAGTACATAAGAATTCGTCGAACCCTTTTCATTTACCTTCCACTTTTGGACCAAAAATGTTCCAACTTCGACTCACCTTGAGAAAGTTATGGAAATGGAGAGCCAGGTTAAATCCCACTGGATGCAGAGAAATGGCCACCATTTTCATATCGGTCTGGTTTTAAATCCTGTTGCCAACAGCTTGGCATATAGAAGTTCATTCCAAGTGTCGGGCACTCCAGGTAGACACCAATGGCTGCAGTCTTGTGGGGCAGTGATTGAAGTACCTGGTTCGCGGTGGCTTGATGGGTGACCATCTTGCCTAAATTCAGTTAAATACGTTACGTTCAAGAAGTGAACATTTCTCTTTGCACTTTTCATTTGTTTGACTACTTCGTAAATAATTATATTGTTTCTTGGTTCTGAGTTCAGCCTTTTGTAGTCTGATTCTGGTTCTATATTCAAATTACAATGACCACCTTCATTCCATTCTCCATCCCTGCAATTTCACATCAGATATCGTAAATTACATAAGCTACGTACCAAGTTGAAGTAGATAGATTCGTTGTAGAATCCATCCCGTAATGTATAA